GCAGAACTGCTCAGTCGTCAGTGCAACAGCTTGTGCTGACATTGTTCTAAACTATCTCCAGACCATTTGTCCTTCCTGTCGCTGAGCTGATAGCAATTGTAAAAGTGATGAATAGCAGACCAATTATGAACAATAGGAAACATCAGTTATAACTCCAGGGAGAAGACATAGCCATATCAGTAGCCTCATCCATCTAACTGTGAGTCATCTTCCCAAGGCATCTTGCCCTGTGACCTTGAACTGCCAAAGGCTTCTTAGTTTTGGACAGATCTGAGCTCCTACTCTCAAAGTGTCTTCTACAAGGCGTTGTCCCTGGCCCACTCAGTCCTGGAAAGGGAACATAGGATGGAACACATATATTTTTCCTAAGGAAGCCACTAACCCCACCCAACAGACAATACCCATCTTCTAAAACTTTCTATCATCTGACAGATAGTAACATCTCCCTTGCGGTAAGAACATCTGGGGATGAGAGGCGGATGGAAAGGCTTCAAGGGGATGATTTCTCTAACACTGTAGAATTTACGTAGCTAAATGTTAGCTGAAGTCAATGGCAATTTTTTCTTCTGTGGCCATTGGTGACCTCATTTTCCAGTACTCTGAGATGATCCTGCAGGAAGTATCCAAGAGAAGAAGATTCCTTTGTTGGTGGATATATCATAGATGAGACTATAAGTGGGAGATGAGGTATTAAGAGAAAATTCAGTGCACAGGAAGGGGTATGCATAATCTAGACCAGTGGGTCTCAATCTGTGGGTTGTGATCACTTTGCGTGCAAAATGACCCTTTAGTGGGAGTCACATATCAAATATCATGAATATAAGACATTTATATTACAATTCATAACAGTAGCAAAATTGCAGTTATGAAGTAGCAATGAAAATAATTGTATGGTTGAGTGTCACCACAACATGAGGAACTGTATTAAAGGATTGAAAAATTAGGAAGGTCTAGACCTGTACTAAGCCTACTACTTTGGAATTTGAAAGGAAGGTTTGCAAATTAATGAAAAAGTTATGAATAGAGAAACTCTTTTTTATTTCTTGGGCAACACTTGGGCTTAAAACAAGGGCATCATGCAAAGGAGGCAAGTGCTCTACCATAGAGCCACACTCCAGACTTTTAATGAGCAAGAATCTTATAAGATTTATTACAAATACATTTCATTCAAGACAATTTGAAAACCCAGAATGAATAAAATGTAATGCATACTTGGTGGACAGACGAATATAGGAGTCGAGAGTATGGGTACTGGAACAAGACTCTTGGTTCAAATATTGACACAAGTAGCTTCATCTCATTGCACACGGAAGCACTTTGCTTTCAACACATTTAAATGTGTATACATTTCTTTGATTTTTTGAGATGGGGTTTCTCTGTGTAGCTTTGTAACTTGTCTCAGTACTTACTCTGTAGACCAGGCTGGCCTTAAGCTCACAAAGATCCGCCTGCCTCTGTCTCCAGAATGCTGGGATTAAAGGCGCGTGCCACCGCTGCCCAACAAAATGTACATATTCATCTCTAACTCTGTAAGGACCACTGTATCATTCATAAAATGCCTTAAAATAATGCCAGGCCTATTCACTTTTCTTCTCATAGACATATGCTTGATAATTTAATAACTACTGCCTATGTCTTAAATAGGAACAGTCTACAGATCAAAGTATATTAGTAAATAGAGGAATAAAAGCAGCTAGGCACATATATAAGCAATTATAGACACATCTCTATTCACCTAGAATTATCTTAGTATTTTAATTCTATTTATTTTCTATTGGAAAATGTCAATGGAAACAACCTCTACAGAATGAGTTTCTTGTGTCTATGAGCCGACTATTCGTTTGTTGTTAAAATAAGTGAATGTTGTGAAGGTAAAGAAATTGCTATTTATTGTATGTACTCTGCTCTAGATGCTTTGATCAGAGGCAAGAGCTCAAGATGACAAGAGGGCAAAAACAAATAATAAGAGGGGGGGATACGAAGAATGTAAAGAACGAGGAATGAAGCTGCAACTGATTTACATCAAGTATTTAATGTACAAGGAATTTGCTAAATGCTTCCTAACATAATCTTATTTAGTCTAACAACTCTGTGAGTTAAATACCATTATCATAGCATTCCTGTTCAGATTTTGAGGAATGAAATTATATCCCCGCAGTGTGTGGCAAAACAGAATTCTGACTTAGATCTCATTTGTGTACTGCATTTTCTTCATGCTCACCATAATATGTAGGAGCCCTGTGTGATCTTTATCTTCCAAAAGAGATGAGGCCATGGAGTTTTAACGTATTGTCACATATGCAATGCAATCCAGCATAGAAGTAAGAAGTCACAATTGGAACATAGATCTATCTGACTCCAAAGCCAAGATGCTTTCAATGACATGTTACTAAGCCTCTAAAACTCTAAAATGTGTGTCTATCTTAGATGTAGCTAACACCACATTGAATATATTAAAAATAAGAAAATGATCCTATCTACATTTACACTGTTGCTCTACACCATTATATATCTAGCTCCAGTTCCATTCAAACTAGGTACAAGTGCATTTAGGATACAATGGCCAGGGAAGCCCTGGAGTGAGGAGTAAGCATCTTTAATAACACTATTTTCCCATGGTAACAACTATGTTTCTACCATTGGTCTCCTATCTATTTTTCATGTTTTTTATTTTAAAACAATCTTTTTTCATTTTAAATACCAATCCCAATTCCCACTCCCTCCCCTCCTCCAGCTCTCCCCACCTTCCCCTCACTCCACCCCATCCACTCCTTAGAGAGTGTAAGGCTTCCCATGGGGAGTCAATGAAGTCTGGCACATCTCTTTGAGGCAGGAGCAATGTCCTCCCACCTATGAGCAAGGTATCCTCAAAAGAGAATGGAATCTAAAAAGTCAGTTCAAGCACTAGGTATTAATCCTGGTCCCACTGCCAATGGCCCCATGGACTGCCCAAGCCATACAACTGTCACCCACATTCAGAGAACCTAGTTTGGTCCTATGCAGGTTCCCCTGCTGTCAGTCCAGAGTCAGTGAGCTCCCACTAACTCAGGTCAGCTGTTTTTGTAGGTATCCCCAGAACAGTCTTGAACCTTTTGTTCATATTATTGCTTCTTCCTGACTTCCACTGGACTCTGGGAGCTTGGTCCAGTGCTTGTACCCTCTTCAGCGATGCTTAGGGTCTTAGCTGGGCTCACCCGTGTGGATTCCTGGGAATTTCCTTAGCTCCATAATGACTCCCTCAATCAAGATATCTCTTTCCTTGCTCTCCCTCTCAGTCCTTCCCCCATCTTGACCATCTCCTTCTTCATGTTCTTCTCCCCCCTCCCCCCTCCTTCCCTTCTCCCTCCTCTTCTTCTCCCCCCCCCCCAGCTCCCATTTTTCTCAGGAGATCTTGTCTATTTGCCCTGTATGTCTCTCTTAGGGTTCTCCTTGTTACCTAGCTTCTCTGGGGCCTTTCCCTGTAATCAGATTGATGACTACCTGAACTATCATCCAAGAGCCCATCTAATTTTTTTAAAGACAGCAAATTATGAAAAACAAGATTCAGATTAGAGCAAGCTTCCATTATTGTCAAGGCATCTGATATTTTTTAAAGAGAATCAATAATAATTTCTTTAGTTGTTCAGAGAAATTAGTCAAATTATAGTAAGAAAAGTTGAAGCAACAAGTCAAAAACTATTCTGAACATAGATGTATGCCTGCTAAAAGAGTGAAGAAGTATAATTGGAGCTGGAGAATCAGAGGTCTCTGCTGAGTTTTTTTGATGAAAGTGTCAGTTGGATGGTGGACAAACCTTGACTTCTAATAGGCTGAGAAGTAACTGAGATGTGAGAGGTAAGGAAGAGCATAGTAACAGGAGGGATTCCATATTTAATAAAGAGCATTTGCCAGCAAAGAAATTTGTCCATGACAAGGTATAGTAGAAGGACCCAGTAATGACAGAGGCCCTTAACATTACACGTGTGGTCAAAGATAGAACAAAAGCAGGAGGATATGCTAACAGGCTTTGAGGCAGATGAATTTTCCTCCTGGGCTTCAGTTTTCTTAACTCAGTTAAAAGTTATATTTTAAATCTTTACTAGGCTTATGGTCATAAAAGTTGTGACACTGAACAAACCCAAAACCTAAAAGAAATATTTATCCTATTTTGGGTAATCCTATGAAAGTGGGGAGGAAGGATTGCAGGAGCCATTGGGTCACAAGAAAACCTACAGACTCAGCTAACCTGGGGCATAGAGGCTCACAGAAACTGAACAGACAACCAGGACACCTTTAGAGGACTGACTGGCCTCTGCACATGTGTTACAGTTGTGTAACTTGTTCTTCTCCAAACAGGGGAGCAGGGGCTGTCTCTGAATCTGTTGCCTGTTTCTGGGACTGTTTCCTCCCTCTGGATTGCCTAGTCCAGTCTTTCATAGGAGGGGAGGTGCTTAGTCTCACTGTAATTTGGTGTATCAAGGCTAGATGATATCCATCAGAGGCACACCTTTTTCTGAAAAGAAACAGAGGGGTAGTAGTGGATGGGTGTGGGTGAGTGGAGGGACTGATAGAAGAGGAGAGAGGGGAAATGGCAGTCGGGTAGAAATTAAACAAAAAGATTTATCTTTGACAATGAAGGGCAGTAACAGAATATCTGTGTGTCTTAACTCTTCATAACTGACATATAAAACATTAAGGACTTAGAAGCTGAATAACTTCTTTTAGGAACTAGTGTGATTGACTGGCAGAAAATTATGTAACCTGTAGTTTCAATAATGGCTCCCAAATTAATGTTGAAAATTGATCCCAATAAAACAGTATTAAGAGATACACTCTGCTGGGCAAGGTGGATCATACCTGTCAAATCCAGTACTCAGGAGATTGAGGCAGGAGGATCATGAGTTTGAAGTCATCCTGGGTTACACAGTGAAATCATGTCTTTGTGACAACAAAGGGGCATGGTTTGGTAGGTAATTGAGATATGAGGCAACTGCCATTGTGAATAGGGTTCTCTCCCTTATGATGGAGCTTGAGGTGGAAAGAAATGCTTTCTTCAGCTCCAGCTATCACAGTGTCTCAATGTTCATTCCTTCTAGAGAAACAGCAGGCCTGCCATCTTAGAAACAGACAGTAGCCCTTGGTAGTCATCAATTCTTCTGGAAGCTTGTTTTTGGATTTCCTAACCATCAGAACCACAAGAAGATGAATTTCTGTTCTCAATAAAGTATCCAGTCTCCATTAATTTATTATAGCAGCACAAGGTAAGTAGTACACTAAGTAGTAGTAAACTAAGGTGAGTTCAAAGAAAAACTTGAACTTGCATAATTAAAAACTGCTCAAGAACCAAGAATGAATACCAGACAAAAAGAAAATCCAGCTGAGACCTAAGATGGGGACACACATCTGAGCACAATCCATTAGAAGCAGGAGAGATGGCTAAGCTATTGATCTTCTTCTGCATGTTTCTTCTACTAGGCATTGTCCATGGATTACTAACTACTCTGCAAGACAATTGTCAAAAGCGGGTATTTCAAAACCCATTTTACTATAATGAAACAAGGGCTTTAAAATGCATACATCTAAACATGCTGACACACAGACATTTTGTGAGAAAACTTACATGTGAGCTCTCATTTTCCTTGTTCAAACACATAAGCTCTATTAAGTAAATAGCTAAAGTGTGTAACGTTGAGTAATGATTTGCATCTAATGAGAAACATCAAGGACAGTAGCTATTTCCATTTGGTTTTTGGTTTTTGTTTTGTTTTGTTTTCTGAGACAGTGTCTCACTGTGTGATTCCTGCTGTCCTGGAACTCTCTCTGTATACCAGGCTAGCCTCAAACTCCCAGCTATCCACCTGCCTCTGCCTTCCAAAAGATAATGTTAAAACAGTTTGCCATTACCTCTGGCTAAGGACAGTAAACGTACAGGGATACTTTTAGTGATTGAGGGATGGCTACTGGGGACCACTGACAACCAGAGCCATTACCGGTGATATTTAGTCATAACTTCCTTCAGGGGAGGACAGCAAGGAATCCGTCAATAGGGATGGATTGATCTGGATGCCATAAAAATATATGAAAATACAGAGACTGAAAGGACCAAGAGGGAAAGGAGAAAGGGTAAAATGCAAGACAAGTATCACCTTGTTCTTACTTAGTGTTTATTACATGATGCACAAGGTTCAACATGCTATTATTCAACTCACTTAGTGCAATAACCTCAGAAATTAGGATTCATGTCATATCTGAGACAAGTAGGACTCAGATGCCTTCCAAAAGTTACACTGAAGACAGGGAACAAAAGGGCTTGATGACATATTCATCCTTGTCAAAGGCAGACCTTCACTTACACACAAAGTTCCAATTCTTCTGTTCAGTCAATAGATCTAGAGGTGGACTAGTACTGCTTTTGCTGAGATACCGTAAACAAACTGTAAACGTCAAAACAAACACAAGTGTGGTCAACTCTCTAGATTTACAATAGAATTACTAGAAACAAAAGGTCAGGAGAACATATTAAACAGCACAATGGAATTGAAATCAAACTAATCCAAGCTATGGAGATATCTAAAGGACAAATAATTGAGTTTTATCTTCAGATATTGACAGAAAGAGAAAGAGAGCATGCTATAGAGTAGAAGAGAGCCTCATAAAAGTCAGCCAGAACATTTGATGTTGGTTTCATTTATGTCTCAGTTTGAACAAATAATCTGGAAACAAAAATATAAGACAGTCTGTTAACCCTGGACAACACCTGAATCTGACTATGTGAGGAAATTACTGTTAATTGGGGATGCTTGGTAGTGATGTTAAGGTGATTTTATGTTTATCATTTACAGATATGGACTTTAACATTTGCCCAAAATGTCACCTAATGAATGAGGATATTTTTTTCAAAATAGATAAAAGGGCTAAAGAGGCACGCTTCGGATGAGCTGTTCAATGATGAAATTCAGTAACAGGTAAATGGAAACCCACTGTGATATTGTGTTTATATCCATTATGATATCCTGAACAAGATTAACTTTAAGGTGACAGAAGATTCTGGAATTTGACAGTGTTCCCCAAAAGTGATATAATGTATAGACAAAACCGAACAAGAACAATACCTCAAGGTGCAAGGAACAGCTACATTCCTCATGTCCTTCCTCTCAGCTCAGGGTATAATTTATAGCCTAAAATTCTATTTGCTCGAAGGTGCCAGGGAATCAGTGACTGTTGACAAGAAAGACCCTATATAGAATAGCAATTTGTATAACTGGTGTCTTCAAATGCACATGCCTGACACAATGTGAGGTACATCTGGAATCAATTTTTCTTCTTCCTCTTAGATTAGAGATAAATCTAAACAGAGAGTTGGATTGTTATTTAATTCTCTTTGGGTCGTTGGCACACTACTGACTCAAGTTGTCCAATGACCCAAGAAGAGCCCCCTGGATGAAGAGGGCTAAACTCCAGCAGGGATGGGGCCTACAGTTTGCTCTGTTTCTGAAAGTTCACACTTCTCTGGCTGGGGAAGTCTCCTCATGGCACCCTCAGATAAATGATGGTGCTGTGGTAAAAGAGTTGCTGTAGAATAGCTGGAAAGTGGATTCTTGTTCTGGCTCTGGCATTTGCTTGGACCTCAAGGAATGGTTGTCATATGCTTTTAGCCTAAGTAGCTTTTTCTATAAAATGAAGATAAACGTAAAACACTATTGAGATAATTGAGGTAGTTTGGGTAGTGAAAGTACACTGTGGACACACTACTGCAAATTGCTGACATTTAATAATCTTCATTTATTTGTTCTCATTTAAATATATTTATTGTGTTTCTACTATGTATCATACACTATATTGTATATAAACCACTGGTAAAATATAGTTGGTTCTGTCTCTGACCTCTTGAAGTCATCTCCCAAATGTATAGGAAAATATTTTAACTAAGTGGCAGGCAAAGTATCCTTTTATGGGGAGAAGAGAGTTCTCAGAGAGAGCACTGAAAAAATTCAAAAACTGAGTTTGGTCAATCATAAGCTCCATGTTGTAGAAAAGAATAAAAATTATAGATATTGGGTATGGTGGTACTTGCCTTTACTTCCAGCATGTGTGAGGCAGAAGCAGGTGAATCTATGAGTTTGAGATCAACCTGGTCTACATATGAATTTACAAGCCAGTTGGGATCACCCTATTGAGACTGTATCAAGCAGCAGCAACAACAATGACCACATACACACATACACACACACACACACACACACACACACACACACACCTAGGGATAGAGAGATGGTTGAGTAAATATGAGTGCTTCCTCCTGGGAAAGCAAAGACCTGAGTTCAAATTTCCAGGACTCAGGGAAAAGCCAGGCATCTTTTTGTTCATGGCAGTAACCTCATCACAGGAGGATGGAGATAGGGAAATCCCAGAAGCTTGTTGGCCAGCCAACCTAACCAAAATGGTAGGCTTCAGGTCACAAAATTTGTCTCAAAAAAGGAAAATGATTCAGGAAATCACCAGACACCTGGACATCCTACTCTGCTATGACATGCATATGAGAGGCGGGAAGGGAGGAAGGGAGGGAGGGAGGGAGGGAGAATTAAATGCCTACATAATCTTGTCTGTTCCTGAATCCACCTACTCTCTCTTTCTTTCTTCCTTCCTTTCTTTCTTTCTCACTCTCCCTTCCTTTCTTTCTTCCTTCATTCATTCTCTATTTCCCAAAAGCTTTATGTGATCATAAATAATACAATGTATAGGAAGAAACACAGATAGCAGCGAAACAATCACAAACAAACAAATAAAATCAAGAGCTACTAACTGTGATAACTGCTATAGAAGAACAAGACAGAGACGAGAAAAATAAATGGACAAGCAGGAGGGTAGATTCAGCAAATAAAAAGTCTTGGCCAACTGACGAGTGAGCAAAACTAAGAGTATGAGTTGGGAAGGCAGGCATATGTATCTTCAAAGGAATAGCATATGCAGAATCTTTTTGTATTGATAAATCAAAGTGTTTTCAGGAAATGGAAGATAATTGTTATGACTGGAGGACAGAACAAGGCAACAAGGAAGGGGTAAGTGTAGGAATAACCAGCCCCATAGCCCCTCATAGGTCGTGTTGATGACTTTGGTCTTGACCAGAAAAGCAAATGGAAATTAATAAGGGATGTAAACAGGAAACTGTGTGTGAGATATTTAGTATTGAAAATATCAATTTTCCTACACAAACAAAAAGGATGTACTTAAGGGGACAGAATCATTGCTAGCTAAATAGCAGAGAGAAGACTCGGTTCAGGCTGAATAAAATGGACACGTTTGGGAAGTCCTTTAAAAGAAGGCAAATCTACAGGATCTGTTAATGGGTTACTGGTGGGTAGTGATGCAGAAGCTAGAAAGGAACAATGTGGATGACAGATGCTCCTTTGGCTTCAGGATAATGGAAGACGAGATGGAAAGCACCATGAGAAGACAGATGAGGCCTCACATGGCAGACAAAGCACAGAGGTCTGCCGGGGATACAAATGGGAGAAGCTGAGTAACTGGAGTGAGCCAGGGTGAAGAACCATGATTCAAGGCAGACAGATTTGTGGTTCACTTTTCCCGAATCTGGCCAATAAGTAAAGAAGAGATGGTGGCTGAAAAACGGTAAACAGAAAGAGGTGATTATGTCTTTAGAACATGTAAGGCAGCCATTTATTACACTTTATTGTATAATCTGGAAGGAAACAGTTAGCAAAATAAGAAGCAGCCAGGTGCTAAGGATAAATCCTGACTCTACCAGCTAGGATCAGCAATGAATCTTCTCACTGCTTATATTTTCATGCGGGGAAAAGAAAGACACTGGGGATAAGCACATGTGAAGCTGAGGTGAGGGTTCTGCGAGCTAAGTGCATCCTGGCCTGGCTGCAGTGCCCAGTAAATGTTATTGCTGAAGTACAGGGAAGAGACAGCTCGTTGTTCTACTCATGACTCTTAATAATGAAATCCAATGCCCCGTCAAATTGCTCTACTCTCTGACATGCAAACGAGTTTTCATTTGGTAACACTTTTTGTCCTGTATGGGTTTTTTTTTAATTTGGTAGTCTTCTAGTCCTGTGAAAGAACTTCGTTTTCCAGTTTTGTAAGTAGGCAAGCCAAACATTAAGTTCCTTTTTTGTAATTGACCATGTGTGTTGAGTAATATGTGATTACTTTCCTCCTGTCCTTTGATTTTCCCTGCTGCCAAGGACTTCCTGACAGGCTGACTCTTAGCCAGCTCACCTCCTTCTCAGAATCTGAGATGGACAAGAAGTGGCCCATAATAGCAGGGAAAATTTAAGCTATTTGTAAGACGCATTTGACTTCCTTAATCTGTAAACAAAGAATTCTTTGTATGAATTTCAAAATGGCAAAAATGTATGAAGCAAAGTTTTGGTCCAAGAATGTCAAGTGTATTGTTAGAATGAATCTGGGAAACTCAGAGAAAGACAGGTTCTCAGCTCTTAGAGAAACACAATTGGTTAAAGAGGCCATGAATTTGCATTTTCATGACTATATTCCATATCTTTTCAGTGATTCTGAAACTTTTTGAGATACTTGAGACCCAGAACTCTATATTCAACTACACATATACATCTCTCCTATTCATACTCTTTCTATCTACCTTCTCATATTATTTATTAAACTGCTCATTTTCTTTTCCTTGTACATATTCTGGAAGAAATAAAGCTTCCATATGAAGGAGATGTATGTCAACTTTGCTCTCTGATATATCCCAAGTGCTTGAAACAATATTTAACTCCTAAGAGATCCTTAGTCAATATTTACTAAATTATTTGAACTCAGTTCCCACTCTCCCCAAACATCACAAAAAATAGACTACTGCTATAGTTCTCCCATTTAACTGATCCACTTATTTGAACAGTTTAACATTTGAAGGAAGAACAGTCAGGGAAGTTGCTGATGCCATGGATTTCTTTCCTAGGAAAAACAATAATAAAAATGCATAATTCTGGGCTAGGAAGATAGCTCAGCTGGTAAAGTGCTTGCCTTGCACACATGAGTTTGATCACTAGAATCCATGTTTAAAAAGAATCCAGGCATGGTGATGTGCATATAATTCTAGATCTGGGAAGGCAGAAACAGATGGATCCCCAGGGCTCACTAGCCAGCCAACCTAGCCTACTTGTGGAGTTCCAGACCAGAGAGAGGCCCTGTGTCAAAAGCAAAACAGTAGAGTGTTGAGGAATGACACTCGAGGTTATTTTCTGACCTCTACAAGGACACATAAACATTCATACATATATACCTCCACAGACACTTACAGCCCTACACACATGAAAACACACACACACACACACACACACACACACATGAACTTTCTGCGGATGATGATCCAAAAACATTTTAAAGCAAAGATAAAGAAATCTCACATTAATAGCACTGCTCAAAAAGTAGTTCTGGCCTTTGAAATTCATGTCCAATATTGCTGTAGTGTTTAGCCGAAACTTCACATCTAGTGACACCTTTGCATTGACCCAAATCTTAAACTACTCCATACAGCTTTCAGACCCAGTATTCTTTAACACAGCGTTCAAACTTACTCAGAACTCATCCATATAACCCCTTTACTGTTTTCCCATTTTGAGTAGACAGCTTTCCACATTTAAATAGTAAATTTTAGTTATAGTTGCCTCCATTTTCTCTGCCACTGGAACCCTTCTTATCAACAAGCCCCCTCACTCTATCCTTGGTCTTTTACAAGTATTCCAAGAGTGACTTATTACATATGCAAATTTTAGACTCAGGAAACTTGCCTTTACATTCTTAACTTTCTTTTCAATTTTGATTATATTTTTTTAAATATTGTGTAGCTCTGTGTGTCTTTGTGTGACTATATGCATGGGCGTTCTAGTTCCTGTGAAATCTTTATGAAGACTCTGAGGACCAAACTCAGGTCTCCTGTAAGAGCACTACATACTCAAAACTGTTGAGCTATCTCTACAGCCCCAAACCTTAACTTTCAATTAGCCATCTTGAGTTTCAGTACTCACCCTTCAATTCAATAGCTTTATGACCACAGAAAATTTATTTAGCTCTAAAGCTCAGGATTTTGAATTTTCAATTTATGAAATTAACATAATAGTGCATTCTTTAAACATGCTGTAGGGAAAAAGAGTAAGGAAGCATGTTAATACACATAACATAATTTTTGAAGTATTAGGCACACATTTGGAGTTAATTATTATCAATATTTCTACCCTGTATGTGTGTCACATACTGTTTTATTACATTTGTTTGTGTGTGTGTGTGGCTGGGCACACATTTCCAACAGCACAAGTGTGGAAGTCAGAGGACAACTTTTCAAAGTCAGCTCTCTCCTTCCATCATGTGGGTCTCAAGCATTAAACTTGAGTCATCAGACTTAATGACAAGTGCCTCTACCCACTGATTCATTGACATACTTCTCTCCCCTTCCTTCCAGTGTCTTTTAATATATATAATGGCTTTGTAAACACTTTATGTTAAGGGCTAGAAGGGGATGTGTGTGTGTGTGTGTGTGTGTGTGTGTGCTTAACTCTGTCACTGTAGCAAGAAAACAACAACAGATACTAGTATATTGATAGAAACATTGTTTGCAAAATCGGGCAACAGGCTGAATTTGGCACATAGGAGGGACATCATCTTCTACTCCTGCTCGTTTGGCATAATATAGACCTTAATATAGACTTCTCTGAGTTTCAGTATCCTTATCTGTTAAGCTGGAGAAATTTCCCTGACAAGTTGAAGCCCAGTACCTAGAACTGGTATGCAGATGACTGAGTTGAGGGTTTATGTTGAGGACTGTAGGGTCTATGTAAGATATCAGGAACCATTTAAGATACTGGATCAATGTAAATGTCTAACACTATATATGTGTGTGTGTATTTACATATGTATTATATGTGTAACATATATATGTATATATATAATACATTATTAACTTCATTATCAATAGAACTACCTCAAGCAGTTTGCTATTTGTACTACTTGCCTCTATGTACCTTCAGTTTTCCAGAATATTTTTCTGATCCACCCACTCAAAATGTCTCACTGTCTTCTAATGCATTTGGAATGCTTATTTCATTATTTAAAAATAAGTCATGCATTAATATAGCATGTGCAAGTAATTATAACTGCTTATGTGTCTCCTGCTTAATCCACTAGACTGTGAGATCCTTGAAGTCACAGTCTACATCCTAATGCTTTCTGTGTTACATTTCTTAGCACAGTATCTGGCACATAGTACATTACACAAGAACACAATAATAACAAGGTTGTGGTGATGATGGCACTGTGACTGAGACAGTGGTAATGGCTATGGTTATGTTAAGAGTGATGTTGGTAGTGGTACAGTTGATGGTGGTGCTGGTACCCGTCCTAAAGCCAGCGGTGATACAGATCACGATAGAAGTAATTATAGTGGTGTTGATGGGTGGAGATGGGTGTGATAGTGATACTGATGTTGATGACAATATGGGTGATGGTGGTAATACATTGGTCCTTGTTATGGTGGTAATTGCGGTTGACTTATTGTTGCATTCATTGCTGTGATGATGGCAGTAGTGATGTTGTGTGATCACTGCTGTGGTGATGGTAATGGTGGAGGTGCTAACAGTAATGATTGCTATGTTTTGAGGATGGCAGCGGTGGCAGTTAGTGATGAAGTGGTTGTGGTCACTCTTTTGGTGATAGCGACTGTGACATCATTGACGGTGAAGGTGGAAGTCAGAGTAAAGTAACTGTGGCGATGACAGCAGTCGTAATTGTTGCAGAGATGGTGGTAGTTGTGGTACATCACCCATGTGGTAGAAGACACATTATTGATTTCTTTTTAAAAGTTAATAATAGTTTTCTCCTCAGTTTAAGCCAAGAAATGGGATGAAGCCACAATGAGAGATGCACTCTCACCCTGGACTCTTGTGGGAGGTTCTAGGCCCTGTCCTGGATGAAATGACAGACTATGGACACCCCCATGGAAGAACTAAAAGAGGGGGTATTGGGTGGGTAGTGGGAGGGGGTGGGAGGAAGGGAGGGAAAGGGAGAGGGACGTGAGATTGACATGTGAAGAAACCTTGTTTCTAATTTGAATTTAAATTTAATAAAAGTTTTTAATAAATAAAAAAAGAAATGGGATGAAGCAAGTAAGTACCATTGGCAGAGAATAAAGACCTGCAGGAAGGGTCAAAGAACCACAAAGAGACCAAAATTACATGTGATTTTTCCTAAGGCAACTTGAAAACAAAAAATGCTCACAGGACTGCAAGTGAATCATCAAATCTTAAGTATTTTACAGGCTTCAAATTCCAGTGATGGTTTCTTAATTATTCTACATGAAACCTCTGAGGGTCAGGTTTTCCACACCCACTTTGCAGATGAGGAAACTGAGTTTTAGAGAAATAAAGATATCTTTGAAATCAGATGTCTTGCCCACTTTGAAGTCAGACTTGGCTGTACAACCCAGGTAAAGTTATTCTTCATGTCTATGCCTTGGTTTTTACTAGTTGCAAAATAAGGAGGTTGGCCTATAAGATGAACAGGATAAGATTTTAATACATCTTAGCTAGTAAATGGGGTTCAGTTGGGATGGGGTACAAGATAATCACATCTTTCTCTTCCTGTTACTAAATCTGAG